ATTCTTTCTCCCATCCCACCGGGGGGAGTGAGCGAGCGGCTGCCTGGTGCTCAGTTGCCGGCTGGGGTTAAACCACGACAACAGGTATCTTAAAACTTCCCAGAACGGGAAGCCAATCCTAGGGCAGAACCACCAGCGTTCCAGAGAAGAGCCAGGATTTTCAGTATAACAAGCTTGTAATTCAGACAAAGAATACTAAACCTAGCATATAAATAGTTTTGAAATGAGACTCGGCTACATTTTATCATGCAAAAAGACAAGAGAAAACTGGGAAAATCAAACCCAAATATTGCTCACAATAGGAATTTCAGTGTGCGAATTTTTCAAAACTGCAGTTGTCAGACTTTCATCACTAGAGGGCACTAATATCCCAGCTGGATGCAAGCAATTTAAACTACTGTGGTACCCAACAGATAAATCCAAGAGTAACGTACTTTGCAAAGTCCAAATAAGATATATGTCCATGGTAGAATCCTGGTTTCATTTCCTTCCAGGAAGTCACATTCTTCACAAATCGGACCTGTAAAAGCAGACAGCAGAAAGTGTTTCTGTACAGCTGGAACACATTAAGCTTCGCCATACATGGTGTTTTCTGGTTTGTAAGTAAAATCTTATAATGCATTAGGAAAAAGGCTATTTTGAACATTACCAAAGAATTTGTGCCAGCTAAAAGAGACTTTTCTGCAAGCATACAGATGACTCATTTTAGATCATCACAATTTAACGATCAGAAACTAAACAAAAGCAGAATACAGCAATCAGAAGGGCAATTCAAGGAAAGCTACCACAAAAACATTAGCAAGACAAACATTTAAATTTTTGTCAGTCCATTTTATCTGTAATTTGAAAGAAGTGCAGAATTCCCTCAGCAATAAGTAGAAATGCAAGTACACCTTTGACGGAATTGTCTGATCTGTATTTAGTTCCTCAAATAAAAGTGTACCAGATTCACAAGCATGTTCTTAGACCTATTTTACTGGGACATAAGAAACAAATCTGATGGTTCATTTGCTCCCCCACCCCAAAATGCAATGCATCAATAATCCAGAAATTTTATAAATGTATACAGTGCAAATGAGAGCTATAGTTTACCATTTTGAACAGTTACCTTAAGCCTAACATTTCAGTGAAACTTCCATGTTAAAGTATGAAGTAGCGCTTGAACAAGGGCTGATAAAGCAGTTATTGGCAGACTTCACAAAAACAGGAATAGCTTTACGTTTCAAAGATAAAAACAAAATAAGATACACGTCCCAAACCAGAAAGTATGATCAAATTAAGTGGGACATGCAAATTCTGATATAGCTTGGCTTTATTAGATGAACAGAGTATTTTAACATCAAAGCATTTAACTCTGAAAGTTATTTCAAAAATAGTGAATTGGATAATAAAGATGATAAATTTGTACTGCCTGAGCTGTCTGACAATGATATGCCATTTCTGAAGCTGAGAATTAGAAGATAGCATTCCCTGCACATCTACAATATCTTTTCTGTTATACAGTGACATAGATAACCACGAAGATACTGAGGTGAGACAAGAGAGTCAAACAAGGAAAGTTTGAGAGCTTAAGACAACACAGTAACATCCTGTAAGGTCTAATGGATTAGGAGTGTCCTGAAACATGATATGTATTATTTATTATAACCAACCAATTGAGGATTTTAAGAGGCAAGACTGGCCTGCTGCTGTTTCTTCAAATGTGCAAAAATCGCAGTCTAGGATTTAAGAGGTTGATAACCTTTACTTATTTCTTCAAACACAGGCTCTTGGACTTTCAGGTGAAAGAAATGGATATTACTTTTTAATAACAGGCAGCATTCATTTTTTCAGTGTACAAGTTTCACAGTCTGTAGCATTTCACAATTTAAACCATACATTGCACATGAAAACTGTGACAAATCTAGCTGAAAAGCACTGCACAATGTTATACAATGGTGTTTCCTAAACTGCATTGGCTTTCTGTCTGGTTTTGTCCACAGGACAAACTGATAATATATCTATGAGTCTTTGAATCCGGTTGAACTACCTTTACTGCTACTGCTACAAGGTTAGCAAATGTGACGCCTACCTACAAGAAGGGCCAGAAGGAGGATCTGGGGAACTACAGGCCTGTCAGTCTGACCTCGGTGCC